GCTGGGGAAGTACAATCTGCTTGCCTGTATTGATCGCCAATTGCCTCGATGGTCGCAGATGGAGGAATGCTTGTAATATACAAATTGATGATCTGTCTCTTGGTCAAGGTGAGCGGTCTGGTAGAGGAAAGCCAGATCTTTTCGAGAAGTCCCTAGATCTGAAATGTTCTTGATAAGAGAATGAAGTACCAAATGACGCACAAACGACACCTTAGGCTCTTTAACCCCCATGAGGCGGAAGAGCTCCATTCGCCTTGGATTGAGTTCTGCTGAAGGCTCTACTAGGCATATACCTGCTGTGGATGGAATCTGATATCTCGCGACGAAGGAAAAATATATACTAGAGTTAGAGGCCGATATGGAGGCCCAGACTCCATCAACGCGCGGAATTATCTTAAGCCTTCTAATTCTTGTAGGCCACTTGTGGCAGGCTTCGATTAGGATATTCGCGACACGAGTATGCCAATCATCAGATGTGTGAGGGGCGTACAATTTAGATCCAGAGTCTTGATCCAGGTCCTGCTCAAGCCTTACAAGGAAGTCGGAGATTCGCATCCGGCAAAGGCCATAGTCGTTCAAGAGATCTAGATCCTTGGCTTTATATTCGGGGGCGAGATATTGTTGATCCTGTAGGTCGGGGAGTAAACACTCCCCATCTATGTCAAGATAGCGTGATCGGGTTCGCAGCATCAATGGGATTTGGCGTGTTCGGCTATGTGTTCTGGTCCACAACATAGCTTCTTCAAGAAGGCAGGCCCGAATTCTGTCTACCAACCTGCCCCAGAAGCGATCTTCAGACATTTGTGTGATCTGTGGCAAGAATCGCATCCATGTGTAGCGAATGGATGGATGCTGGGCAACACTCAGGTGAGACAATGCTTGGACAAAGGCCTTTGCAATGAAGGGTATTAGAGCAGCATTACGAGCCGATGAACGAACAATATCCTGACGACTCGCATCCGTGACAAAGTCGGCTTGGATCAAGAACTACTTCATGTTAACATTCACTGCTTGCACAGGCCAATCATGAATCACTCACATAGAATCCCATTTTCCGAATGGGGAGGAAGGCATAGACATCTTGTACCTCGATGATCGGCGTCAAGTCCGGGCACAAAGGAAGAGCAACGACCACATCTGATGTAGCGTAGGCATTGCTCTCTATTTCACTCTGTGTGTAGGTGCGATTTTCGCTCTTGGGAAGGTGGCATGCTTTTTCAGTCGCGATATAGTAATCTCGGCTTGTTTCTCGAACATTGCCCCCTTCAACAGTTTGTCGTCGAAGCGTGGTCTGCCGATCGCCATGTCCAGGTTCTCGAGTAAATGTCGTCGAAGAAGTCTCTTCGCCGCGATCATTATGGATCTTCACTTCGATCCGCCGAAGGTTCTTCATGAATAGAAGGAATGTAGCCTGGAGCTCTCGAAATTGCTCTAGTGTGGTCTCGTATTGGCGAGAGAAGCTTTCGTCTGTGTTATGTTCATGCAAATACAGAGTGATCCGTGTGAGGTGAGGCTCAGGGATCTGCTCAGGCTCTTCCCAGACGGGAGATATCATTCCCATCCCGGAATCGCCAGGTCGGTGCTTGAACGAGAATGAAAAGTCCCCCGATTGAATGTGAACCTTCCAGGCCACCATAAAAACCGACTTGAACCCAATCCCCTTTTCACCGATATACCCTTGGGCTCCCTGCTTGGAGCTTTTTCCTACACTACATATTGCAGTCAAGTTCTCACGAGTGAAGCCGTCCTCGTTACACTCTAGCACAATCCGTTTGGGATAGACACGAAATGACACGAAAGGCATAGATCCGAGTGATTGTGCCTTATGGTATAAGTTGTCATCCGCATTCTGCAGTAGCTCAAAGACAAATCTGGCACTACTATTGTAAAGGTTTTTGGATAGTCTGTTTAATGTCATATTAGAAAGGCACGCAGTCAGTTAGATGGTTGGTTGCATACGTTATCACGGAAGATCCGATCATCTCATCTTTCTTGAGCATAGCTTCCTCGACCTTTCGCCGCACCTCTGCCGACATAGTGGCGAGGACCGTCTCGTCGAGATAGCCATGATCACCGGCAATTTCCTCTACTAGCCGACGGGCACTTTCCGTTCTATACATATCTGATGCTAGCCTCGCTGGGAATTGGAGTGTCAGAGATCGGGACCGTTTCTGCCCAGCTAAAACCGTTTCATAGCCACGTTAGATAAATGATGGCAAGAACGAGAGAGGGGTGGGCGTTGTTCTTAATTGTACGCAGGCCCCCTTATTGACTGTGGTAATTAATATACTAGCGCTCCCAACTATCGCGGCTAGCGTTATGCGAGTTGACTGCGGCAGAGCTCCAGAGAATCAGCCCACACCCTGTTCATGGAATTATGAGCCAGTGGCCGCGCGACTGTGAAACAGCAAATCAACCCAACGGACAGCAGGTCGGATTTTGTTACTTTTTACCGAAGTCTTAGCGTTTTACGTAAAACCGTGGCTGGTAACTACCACGGAGCTCCTGAAGATTTAGTGTCGTACCACCCCCGGCCCTCGCTACCACCCTGAGGCCCTAGCCTAGTGCCCCTAGGGGACTTGTTACCACTTATTCTTAGGGCAATGTCTTCCCTTGCCTGTTAGCTCGATTTAGCCCGCCATAGCGGAGGCGATCTGGTCGGCCACCCGACTTCTCGCCGCGTTTAAGCCACACGCCGGGAGGTTAGTAGTTGGGTGGGTGACCACTAGCGAATCCCTCCTGTTGTATATTTTTCACTTTTTTTTCGGATTTGCTCTGTCCTGTCCTCTTCTTCTTGTGCTTTACGTTCAGGCGTCTTTTCTGTTATCAAACAGACATTGTTGTGGTGGATATGGCCCGAGTATGAGGCGTACCACGTTAGGACGGAGTCAAATATCTGTACCAAATAAAATAGTACATCGAAACTATAAACCTTTCCTAGAATTCATGACGAATGCTATCCTTCATACTCTCAAAACATAGGACTATCTAGCCGGATAGCTTCAAGCTAGCCATCCCATAGCGATTATGCGGGTGGCTCTGGGTAGGAGGTCGGAAGTGATAGGGCTATCACCGAGAACCCTAGCTTCAGGTCCCCAAGTCAAAGCAATGTTCTAAACAGACAGGTTTGGCTAAACCCACCATCTTCTACGCTAGCACCGGCGGATTCATTCATTGACGCGCTACTGTGTACATGTTTTGACTTTATAGGACTCCACGATGATGTTGATTCAAGTAGTAATTCATACTGTGGTAAACATCCAGCTTTGTAGTGTATGTATGTCTTGGTTGTCAATGGCTTTTTTTTGGTAAGATCTTAAGAGAGAGAACTGGTATTTCATATATTATGGAAACATAGGATTATATAATTAGTGACACAAATCTACTTTACCCTATCATGCCATTGCTTATAAAGGGGTTTCCCGGTGGAGCATAACATGAACGAATCCTCTGAGGTTCAGATTGGCCTACGGAAAACCTACCTGACTCGACGAGGAGCTGGGCGCGGTCTCAAGAGATTCAACCTAACCCTTGGATTTGATCAAGTCAAACCTAGGACAGCATCGGTACAATGGCAAAGAGGAATTGACAACTATGATTACGTACATGGTAGAAGAGCAAAAGGACTTTGAGCATATGTCTCTTTATATCAGCAGGAGGATACTTCGAAGCAATATCTGAACCTCAAGAACCTGTCTACTATTAGATGGAATTGCCAAAAGCCTCACCAATAACCCTCCTGGCATCGATGTCTTCTCCCGGGTTGAACCGCCGATCGATATTCCCAAATTTCCCTGGCAGAAGATATTCGGTCATCCCCAGCCCCGTACTGGGTCCGATTCAATGTGAAGGTTCATACAACTGCGTGGCGCAGCGTGATGGACAAGGTACCGACCGCCCTAGGATCCAATCCACTCAAAACCAAGCCATTCTCTGTGGTTCCTGGACATGCACCGCTCGTGAACTCTCAGGGCAGAGATATTCTGCGATCCTTGGACTTGAAGAACCTGGGGAGATTGAGAGATGTCAATGACCCAATCAACCTGCAAATCAAGTGGGGCCCAAATCTTCCTGCCTGGAGCGCGTCGCCTGCAGCTGCTGGAAAACCCCTCTGTTCATGGCCGGACTCCTAGTGGAGATTTCCATGATGCGAGAATGGGCTGGAAGCCGGAAGAAGATGCTGAGTCGCAGCTGCCAACGGCGCCGTTTGCGACCCAAGTGGAAGCCGCGCCCCCCTCTCGCCTCGTGGCACTTGAAGCGCGGATGGCCCAGCTGGAAGCACATCTTGCTATGCAGGAGTCGGTCATGATTCGTCTTCAACAAAGTCTACTGGAGCAAGGCCGCAGGCTACCAGAGTGGAAGACATGGTCTTGCTGTTGAGACCCAAATCCGAACAAGTTAGGGGACCAGATGGGGCGAATGAAGGAGAATCGAGCTTGTAGAGGGGGATTGTCAACTGGGGCGCTTTCGTGTATCATTAGTGCAGCAAGCTACACGTAGTCAACGCCTCTAATGTGGTTTAGAGATTTAGAAATTTGTTTTTTTTGAGTTTATGAAAGGAAGGATTCACTGAGCGCAGGAAAAGCATCACCTCCCTACATGAAGCGATCAGAATATCGCAACAACGAAACCCTGACACAGTCATCGCATGGGTTGCTGCGTGCCTTACCATTCAGGTATGTGATAAACTGCATACAACATTATCAACCGGGGATAACTGACATCCAATACTGTACCAAAGACTCTGTAAAATGCAAATAATCCACCAGAAACAAGTGTCGAGGCAATCTCATATGTTGTGCTCAGGCTGGAGTGGTATTGTATCCTCTCTTCTCTGGTCCGCACCGCCCCTGGTGCAAATCTGCCAGATCGCCAGCAACAGCACCTACCTCAGAGAATAGGTAGTCTCTATGAGGCCACTCTTTCCATATGCTTCGGAATCATATGTTCGGATGGTGAGACAGTCTCCTCCTTAAGTACAGATCTGGCAAATTTGTACAATGTCGAGAGGGAGCTCACCTTACTTCTGTGCCTTTTCTCCGGATAGTCAACTGATCGCATCCGTAACGAATCGCGGTGAGGTGCAAATCTGGAATGCCACCACGGGAAAAATGCAACATGTCTTCCGTGAGTCGGAGTCTTGTGTATATGCCGTTGCATTCTCGCCCACAACCGCTGGTTTGCTAGTGACCACAAACGGGAGCAAGGTCAACATCCAAGACATGACGGCCGGGCGATTGAAAGCAACTCTAGACCCTATGTTGGGATGTACTGTGCAGGGTGTGACATTTTCGGCTGATGGAACGAAGCTGGTAGCAGCCATCGGCAACCATGTCGGCATCTGGGATGTTCCATCCTTCGAGAGGACTCTCATTCCTGCAGGCTTTGAAATTACCCCCGTGAGGTATGTGCAGTTCGGTACGAATAGCAACTTCTTGCTGTCGTTATCCAACTCCCGTGTCACTGTGTGGACCATGGAAGATGGGCGGAATGTCCGCAAAGCAGACCTGGATGAAAACAGTCAGATCAATGCAACTTCACTCTCACCAAATGGAATGTATGTGGCATTGGCTATCCATTCTCGACTCCGCATCAGAAATACGGGTCAAAGCAATGCTGGTGGGGAGATGTCATTGGAATGGAATGGTGAAGAGATCACATCGCTGGCGTTCTCCCCTGACGGTACACTCCTTACCGTAGCAATGTTGATCGGAGATTTCAAGATATTACAGCACCCGTGGACCGACGATCCAGTACAAACGTTGAGAGGCCATGATAGCCTTGTATCTCAGCTCTCCTTCTCGGCTTCCGGACACTATCTCGTATCCCGTGAAATGTCTGAAACGTCACGAATCTGGAATGTGGGCCACAACAGCCCGAATCATGAGGCAGGCCATCTGGACGCCATTACCTGCATCGAGCTTTCATCGGATGGAAGATATCTGGTATCTGCATCGCACGACGGGAGTCTCTGTCTCTGGGACGGGAACCAAGGAACCTTTAAATGCAAGAAAGGGGATGATAATTCAATTGCCTTCACCATCCAGTTTTCCGGCGACGGCAATCGTCTCGTTACAGGGGCCCACGACGGGGTCGTCCGCCTTTGGGACATATTTAACAGCACCCTAACGTGCACTCACCGCTTCGCCGAGCATAGTAAATCGGTCAGGGCGAGGGGAGAGTGAAGTCGAGTTGCTACACGCTCTCGCCGGCCGTCGTTGCGATGTTATGGCGGTGGCATTTACGCCCGACAGCTCCCAGCTAATTACCTGTTTCTTTGATAAGCAACTGGCGCTGTGGGACATTAGCACAGGGGCCTGTATTATAACCGTCAAGACGTCGGCATGCTGTCATACACTGCAGGTCATTCCCGACGCACCTTGGTGGCTCAAAACGGAGCTTGGGGCCATTCCCCTTCCATCCACCGGTGCCCCGAATCCGCATCTGCCATTGCAGTGGCGCTACGGAATTTCGAGGCCTCGAGGGTCATTGTCGGTTAAACATGAAGAAAGGACCATGTTCTGGTTTCCCAGGAAATACCTGTCTTTTGGGTACGAAAGAGCAACCCTCGTCCAAGGAAGCAAAGTGATAATTGGGTGTCACTCAGGTCAAGTACTGTTTTTAAATTTTGAAGAACCAGCTGAAGTAAGTCCACGCAAGGAGTAGAGTACAAGTCTCGGGAGAAATGCATTCAGTGATCCAGCACATACGAAGCCTATCCTCTTCTCATAACTGTTGACAGGTCTATTCCTCGACCTGCCTATTGGGCTTCGCTATGGGCGACAATATGTGGTGGGTTTCAAGTGAACTTGTTGTCTCTTACGCAAGCGGTAGCGGGTAAACGCAGCTTCATTGGGCTTCTCTTCCTTCGCATGGAGGAGTTCTGGAAATTTCAATAGTTGCTACGGATGTGTGGATGGATGAATAAATTACTCCTCCTGCTGTGTGTAGCCGATGGTCGTCTGTGCCGAGTCTGTTGTCTAATTGTACCTCTCTTGGTTTTCAACACTTTCCCAGGTGAATTGCTTGTCCTGTAGAAGCTTTCTATCTCAAACAGTCCCATAACCAAGACCCATTACCTCTCCCAGATCTCCCCTGTTTGCTTCCCCTTGGTAGCACTCCAAAAGGGTCTGTTGCACTCTCTCTGGTCTCCATATATTCACAGGTTCCATCCCCTATTTGTCCAGATTTAATCGATTATGTCCTGTCCGGGGCTGTTTTCTCGCCTGTGTTGGTGCTTCTCGCATTTTGCTCTATTCTTTCTGTAGCCAGCCTGAAAAAAAAATAAGACTATGTGGTATTTACACCTATGATAGATCATGATTCATGGTGAAGCTATGGGTTTTGTATTATGTACATAATCACATCCATGATGTAAATATATGTACAGATTTTTAATCACCTGACTGCTAGCGGTGTCACTACAAGGTTCGGGTCGGCTTCGGGTCGGATCCAGCGGAGATCCCGTACCTAACTAACTAGTAGTAGACTAGTAGTAGTAGTCTATTTTTCATATGCGCATCCGCTGCAAAATATTATGTGCATGCGGCATCTGGGCTTTTTATAGGCACTAATATGCGTCATGATCCTGCACAAAATGTGCAAAGAGTTTCAAAGTGGAGGAGTGAGTGACGCATCCTGCACAGGTATGAGTCATATCTTCATCAAGAAGACTTGTGGTTTGCAATTGGGATTAGAGTTAATTTGCTTCTCCGGTGAGCCTGGAGGTCTAGGCATTTTGCCAAGGGCACTTGCACTGTTCAAAATGTAACCACTGTGCTTGAGCAAAAAGGGTGTGACTTGAAGATAATGGAAGGGGTTGGTATATTATGCAGGTATTATGCGTAGTTATGTGGTGGCTGACAACACGAGAGGTGAATCTCCAAACTCCACACTTGAACATGAGTCAGACGAAAAACGGCTGTGCTAGACCAATCACGCCATGGTGTTCTCTGGAAATCCATCACAAGTGAGTCATCCCACCGAATGAGGTTCAAATTGACGCAGAATGTTTTTAGTCTCGGGGTCTTATTACACAGTAGAGCCTGTAGCCAGTCAGGTTCGCAATAATTCTGCTACTTATGGATACCTCTCTTTATGGTCTACAATGCCGACATCAAGCGCAAGAAGATCAGTCTTGAGCTAGTCATAGAGTAACGGAAACTCAGAACCAACCATGCTTGGCGTGCGAGAGGCCAGATAAAAGGATGGAGCTAAACACGGCGATACCCTTGTTGTTCTGCACTTCGAGTTATCTCTAGACCATTCGTCCAGCACTATGTCACCCAGATTGCAGCTAGAACAGACCCCCATTGTGCGGTTGCCCACGTCTTCCATCCCCAGTCATATCCAAACCATTGTCGGCAAGCGATCGGCCATCTCAGACGCCATCGAGGAGTTTCGTGGTATACCATATGCTCATGTGCCGGGAAGATGGGGGCACTCGCACCTGAGAGATCGTTTACCGCGGGATATATTTGACGCTACGGAGAACGGGTAGGCGCTCATCCCTCGCAAGCAACTACTCCCTCGGATATTTATAGAGTTGGTGCAAGACTCAAGGTTCTGACCATCCCATAGTCCACGATGTCCTGCGCTGGGTAAACCCGATACGCGGGCGTTTCAATCATACTTGCCGTACCCGGATGACCGTCAGGATGAGTTCGAGTGCTTGAACCTTTTCGTCGTGCGCCCAAGCAAGGAAGCACTAGCAAAGCACGATATCAATGCCGAGACGACTCGGCTGCCTGTGCTTATTTGGATTCATGGTGGTGGCTTCATTGATGGCGCAGGCACAGATCCAGCGTCCGGTACGCGTTCTAACATTGCGAGCTTACTTCGATAAGGTATCCGCTAACCACGAGTCTCTAAGCAGATCCTTCCCGGCTCGTTCTTCGTTCCATCTCCCACAAAACCCCTTTTATTGCCGTATCTATTAACTACCGTCTGGGTATATTTGGCTTCGGCGCTTCATCTGACATGATCGCAGCCCAAGGCAGCGACTCCCCTCTCAAGGGCGTGAACTTCGGTCTCTACGATCAGAAACTTGCGATCATCTGGATCAAGCGCAACATTGCTGCGTTTGGAGGAGATAATACCAAGATTACAATCATGGGTCAATCCGCCGGTGGGGTTTCATGTCATCTTCACCTTCTCGAGGCAGAATTTGACACGAAGAGACCGCTATTCCGCAAGGCTGGTTTGATGTCTGGACCGGTTGGGGGTCTCGAATTGACATCGATGGGAAAAGCCGACCAGCGCTGGGCAGATCTCTGCCAACTGTGGTCAGTCCAAGCTGAAAACCCAGTTGAGCGAGTCAACATGTTGAGAAGAATACCTACCAAGGATCTGCTGAACAGCGTTGCAGACCTTCACTGGGTGCTTTTTACACTGACCATCGACGAATTGACCATTCGAAAAAGCGACCTGGGCTGTGGCGTTTCCGTCCATCTTGAGCACGGCGGTTTGGGCGATGAGAGCACGCCGTCCGACGAAAAGGTCCAGGTCCTAATGAGCGCAACAGCTGATGAGTTCAGAGGCTTTGCCCTGATGGCCAACTGGGATTACACCACATTCCACTCTCTTTTTACCTCGGGTTATCCTTCGGAGGCGGCGGCTGAGGAGGTTCTTCAAGAATACGGCATTTCGCCTACCTCTTCGGATGAAGAACTCTTTGAAGGATTCTCCCAGTTCATATCTGATGCCACGATGATGCATAAGATATATCGCGCAAACGAATTCTTCAAGGTTCATCGTGGGAAACAAGCACTCCTCCGTGATCAGGACACCAAGCGTGTGGGAATACAGTATCACCATTTAGAATTCGGCAATCCCTTCTCAGGGCCCATGCAAGGAGTTGCGCATCACGGCGTTGACATGATCTATGCCTTTGGCAATTTTCACGACGCGCTGGACAAGGCTGACCAAGGGATTTTGGAAGGTTACGTTGAGCCCAACCAAGCTCATGCAGAGGCTAGTGTTGGCGAACCCTCTATGAACACCAAAACTACCGATTACCGCAAGTCCAACATTGATCTCAGCCATGAGTTACAAGATAGGTTGATCCAATTCGTGGTTGAGGATTGCCAAGAGACCGATCAGCGCGCATATGCTGATGATATCCTGACTTTTTGTCCCGACCGATCGGTCTGTGTAGAGAGTTGGTCTAGTGGCGAGAAATGGATATCAAAGAGGAAGAAACTCGCGGCTTTAGATAAAGATTATGATTCTATGATAGCTGCCACGCGGAGACTTGTAGGGAGTGTTGTTGGTATGGCCTTGTAGAGGCTTATACTTGCACTCAGAAAACGTGGACTTCATATAGAAATACACGAGTCCTGCTCATTTTCTGGGTGGGCTGCACATGGCCCTTACGCTCAAGCTATTCCGTCAAATGCAAAAGATGTTTCTCTTCTCTCACTTGGAACCGTTTGTTCACAACTCTAGCGCTCCACTAATGTACTATCGGCAACATCAGCATGCAAGTCGACGATGTTCGGCGTAAGCCACTAAAATAGTAAGTTATATGTAATTATATCCCTTGCATCTCCCAGAGCACATGACAACTGAACCTATGATCTCCAAGCTCTTCCCTTTCCCTTTCTCCCTCATGCCCCTTTATGCCTATTTAATCATGTCTTATTTCTTCCCACGCCGGCAACCTCCTCAGGTAGGGCGTTTCCACATTTTAGCCAAAGGACCAAATCAAGCTGACTCTGTTAGACTCTCGAGCTAAACGGCCATGAGATTCTTGCAACCGAGGTTGAGCTACTAGATCCACGTCGAACAGTATATCGTTTCAAACTTAAACCGGGCTCATATCGGTATCCAATTCCAGAAGGAGCCATCTCTATCATCGTTAAACAACAAAAAGAGGACTGGGAGGAAGAGTTTAAGGATGAAGAGATAGCCTACAAAAAATTAGAGGCGCTTCAAGGAACGGTGATCCCATACTTCTATGGCCATGGTTACTTCGATGGGCTACCTGCGCTTATATTATCCGATATCAATGGGATTCCTCTGAGCGATTTGGCTCGCAGCAATGACGAGGTTCCGGAGGATGTGTTGAAAGCTTATCTGGAGAAAGTTTTCAAACAGTTTTCCAAGTATGGAGCGTTATATCGAGACCAGAAACTGGATAACTTTTTATTGTGTGTTGACAAAGTCATGGCTGTTGATCTCGAGCGGGTTGAGTTTCCAGATCAGTTTCGTCCATGGCACCCTCTTGTCAACAAGGGGGGACCGAGATCTTTGATGGAAGATTTCGAATACACGCGAAATCCCAGGCGTAAATCATCTCCGCTTGACTTTTGGATCTCTGGAAATGATACGAGTGCATCACAGCTGGCTAGTTGATTTTATACCGGCGATCTATCAAGGAAGTACTAGAAGGCTTGCTTCTGCAGTTGAATACATTTGGTTAATCGGAATTGTATGTTGTCACTTTACAAGCCCCCAAAACAATCATACAGGTATTACACCCGGCACTTCGTCCAGTACTACCAGTTAGATATCATAATTAGATGTGGCCTACCACGACGACTAGAATCCACTAGTGATCGGTGACGGTGGCTTGACCGCGGAGTCCAAATGTGATACAAGTACGATTCGTAAGTGAGAATCGAAGGTTAGAGGGCTTAAGCCTATTGAATACCGAGACTGCTCATCATAGTTATACTAATGCTGTACACTGTATTATGTTCAATAATCCACACCCCTGGATTAGGAACCGGGCTCGTCGCGATGGTAAGAGCAGATCTCTCCCCTTGCATTTTTGCTTCAGAAGTACCATACATGCCATGTCGTACACTCCACCTTCAGATGAACATTGTAACAACTTATATGCGTTCCTAGTTAATAAGTATCCAGGTGTATCCGAACTCTTCAGCAGCGCTCCATGCAGCCTTAAAGTCCTATGCTATGCAAACCAGCGCGAGGAGCCGTGGAAACCTGTCCTACCTGCATTGACTGTTATATCAACGGAAACAGACACATTCAGTATCAATCTACAAAATTTGAGCACCGTTCTTCAAGAGCTGAGGCTAGATAATACGTCCCTGTCCCCAGACTTCTTGTGGCCTCTGGATGAAAGCGGTCGACCACTGCCAAGTGACGGAACGCTGGAATGGCCTAATCTAAGGATCTTAGAGCTAAATGACTTCCCACCATTTCTCCCTTCAGGTGCTAACTTCCTCCCTGCCCCTTCCAAGAACCTATACTGACAATACTCTCCCAAAACACAGGTAAATGGCTCGCCTTACCCACACCTGAAGAGCAAGCCAGAATAGATCAACCTAACGACGAGATAAGTGCCCCGGAGGACCTGATCGGGGACAACGACCGTGGATGGGCATGCCGAGAGATGGTCGACCATGAGGAATTTCATCGCCTTTTTACGTCCATAGGCCACGCAGCACGACACATGCCCCATCTAAAATCCATCACGTTTAATCTCGATCATAATCCAACCCTGGAATTCTCGTTCCGAACCGACTCAGATCCTATCACTGCTCAGTGGCACTCCATGGCACAGCCGGAGTATGACCCTGATCGAAGGGTTGCTGAAGCTTGGGGGTTTCGGATTGAGGATTATAACTTTGACACCGGTGTGAACTTTCCTTGTTGGCCACCAGAAGAGATGACTCGCAGGCAATTGTGATTAAAGGGCAGTCAGGCTCAAAAATTGAGCTGTTCGATGCCTGGGATTAGGGTCCATTGGGATGCACATTTTGTTATTGTTATATCCGATTTGGGCCGGAGGGTGGATAGGAGAGCAGTCTTGCGTTGGAGTACGTTGTTTTGGACTGAAAGGGAACAAGACGCAATTAATAAGGGGGAAAGCTCACATACGATTGGAATCGTGCAATACCTACGTAGTTAACTACCTGAAGCTAAGGGTATGCGCACGTGAACTGGAGGCGAGTATACTCTGCTGGAGTTCATACTAAGCGAAGTAGAAATGTAGCTTTTAACTACCAATGAGGCCTTGTTTTAAAGTCCCTAACTGGCTTAGTAGTGCTTAATCATCCAAGCACCAAAATCTCAGAAATCCACCCAATCGTAACATCCTACTCTGTGCAAACCATGAACGGCTCTTACATCTACCCTGTCAAACTGCTGCGCCGATATCATGACAGCCAGTTTACCTCTAGAACTTTTATCTGATATTGCAAGACTCCTCCATTATGGTGGCATTTGTTTGGTTCCATATACAACCGTCTGTCGTCAATGGCAGGCAGCTTTTGAGCCATTTATCTACTCTGATTTAATTGTTTATAGTGATAAAGCCTACAAAGACGAGGACCAGAGAGGGATGTCTCTCACGCATTTTCAAAAGCTCACATCAGGAGCCGGCGCTATAAGACGAGCCTGGATACGGAACCTGCAGTATGATATTCTAGTGCCATTCGAACTGTTAGACTGGACAACACGCAAAAGAGAGACAGGGCAATACAGCATAGCTAACCCCGTCCGAGAGGCAAATAACCGGGCATTTCAGACAGCTATCATTAATCTATTTGGCATCCTTGGTCAATGGGATCGGAATAACCGTCTCTCCCTAGACCTAGGGCTGCGAGGCCGCCGAGTCGGTGAAAACCCCGCCCCGGAGCCAAACACTTCATATTTTGATATTGCTGGGGACTATCGACACGATTTTAAAACAGGGCGCACCGATGCGGTTCCACCGTACCGGGCGCGCTTCTACAATAACTATGCATCTGTTCTGGCGTACGCTCATGTGTTGACAAGCTTTCTTTTCCCAATAAGCGGATTGCTTTCTTTAATGCTCGGGGGGAATGTAGGCATCGGTACCATCAAATATGGGCCGGCACAGTGGCACAGATAGTTCAGCACTGTCCGACTGTCACGGAACTATATTTGAATCTGGACGAGTGGGTAAGGCCAGATCATTTGGAGTATATTAAAGCCCGTCGTGATGGTATGCGCTTATATATCCCCCTTCGCTCATTCTCTTGCATTCAAGAATGCACCACGCTACGATTATCACGCTTACGAATACTCAGCTGTATCTGAAATTTTCAGCAACACTCCACATAGCTTAAAGGTGTTGCATTACGCGAACCAACCTGAAAAGCCATGGAAAGACAGCATGCCCGCTTTGAATGTCCTATCTACAGGGACCGACACTCTTACTGTGAATCTTCGACGTTTAAGCACCTTTCTTCGAGAACTAAAGTTAGAGCATACATCTCTATGCCCGGATTTCCTGTGGCCGCTCGATGAAACTGGCCATCCGTTGCCTTCTACCGTGCATTGGCCTAACCTAACAGTCCTAGAGCTCAATAATGCCCCACCTCGTCTTCCTTCAGGTAATAGCTTCCTTCTCTTCTCCAAGGTCCTGCTATCTACATACCCCATGAAGAACATCACTTGACCAACACCCACAAACCCCCAATAATGGCTAGATATATCAACTAAACCACCAAACCAGGACAATGGCTCGCCCTGCCCACGGCTGAATGGCAAGAGGAAATAGACGAAATAGAAGATTGGGAAGAAGAGATCTGTGATTACGAGAGTGGATGTGTCGATCGATCCATCAATGACGATGAACAGTTCCATCGCTTCTTCATTTCCCTAGGTTACGCGGCCCGGCATATGCCCCGTTTAAGGTATATCCAATTTAGTCTCGACCATGGACCGACAACAACGTTCAGCTTCAGACGCGACTTGGACCCTATTACTGCTGAGTGGCTCTCTGAAGCGGACCCGGAGTATCGACCGGATGAACGGGTTGCCAAGGCCTGGGGGTTTCGGCTTGAAGATATAGAGATTATGGGGGCTTGGGATATGGAATCTGTTGTAAGGTTTGCTTATTGGCCGCCAGAAGAGGTGTAATACTTGTCCTTTGTCGGTTGGATATATCCTAGTACATACATATGTATGAAGTGATTTGTATTAATCTTCGGAAATTCTGCGCTGCCTGTGATTTGACCCTCTATACCACCAGTACCTTTCACTGTTGTTACTCTATACTACTGTCGCTCTGGGGACTAAATCTTGCCATTGTTGTTCTATAAGCTGCTTCTTCCCCTAAGACTGACCTTCACACATCATCCAGGTTTCTGCTTGATACAACCCATATAGCTATAAATGATACCTTCTTTCCGAACCTCCCCCTTGTCTTCGCTTTGCTCTTTTGTTTAATCTTTGTACTGCGATCTTCTTTTCCCTTTCCTTCTCATTCATTACTCTATCTATATACCATCACCAGCTAGACTCGAATTCTCTTCATTCTCCAGTTATAGACCTACAGGTCTCACTCAAAACATACCAGAACCCCGTAATCCACCAGATTAGACTTAGACCCAGATCCATAAACGACAAATCCCCCCCCCTGCATATAGTCTTCCAGCTCCAGGCACCTACAATTCACATTTCGTACAACCCCAAAACCACAAATACAACCTCGTAGCCGGGATACCCCGGTACAAACCCAACTATTACCTAATTGTTCTACAAATATGTCCCAGTACAGGCCTCGCAGCACTGCAACTTGATCGAACATGTACTCCAGCCGAGTCTTTTAGAGATGAAATAGAGGCGAGGTAAACTGAACTCAATATGGAGCTGATAATTTTGCTTCTCCGGTTCTTCTTGTTTGGATTTTATTATTATAATATTTGGGAGGTTAATCCCGAGTACTCGGGGGAGGGGGGGGTAACATCGGTCTTCCGGTTATGGGATACTCCGTCCTACATGAAGCCTCTTCGAGAGGAAATTTGTATCTTGCAAAAAGAAAGTATTCAGTGTAATTTTTATTCATGAGGGTATGGCATACTCGTTTCGTACGGGTACTGAGAAGGATGAACGGTATATCAAGTACTTAAGGTTATAAACTTGACCCACCCAACCCGTTTGATTTGCCGGAAGAATCGACTGGTTCGACCCACTTCAGCCTCTGGTGCGGAAGAAAAGCACGTCCCTTCGCGGTGGGTCCAGCCACGTTAGGAATCGACCACGACATGGAAAAAAACAGTAGGGCAATACAGAAAAGGAGGTACCAGCTAATACAACACACAAGTTCAGGTATCACGGCAATCAAATAGACGACCAGGACTGGTCTAAGAACCACAGCATTTATCAAAGTACATACAAAACAATATAAGCATACAGCTGGAGAAAGTAGGCCGTGGGATAAACGGCCACCAGGACGGATCCCGATAATTATTCCCATCACATCGGATGCTCGCTGAAGCAAAGAAAGTGACACTGAATCGAATGCCCGCTGAACACCTGCGAGAATGTAAAGTGAATGTAAAACACAAGGTCAACTATAGACGAGGGGGAAAGGAAGCTATAGGGAGGAAATCATTAAAGGGAGTCACGGCGCGGGGATTAATTAAGCTTCCACAAGCGTTTGTCGGGGGCCGTTACCAAGAAATTCGAGGCATCGTCGTGCCAGCGCAATTACCTCGCCCTCACCATCTTCCTGGTCCTCCTCGTCGGACTCGATATTCTTGTCGGAGATCGATTTGACCATCTGCACGACATCGTCGGATTTGGCAATATAGCTGATCAGTCTCTTGTCCTCAGACTCCAATAGCTGAAGGAGAGTCCAGATCGCAATGTGCTGGAAGGTAGGGTCTCCGCTGGCGAGGAACCGCTTCAGATAGCCGTGGATACCCCCGTTGGGATCCGCCCAATCTCGGACAAATATCGAATAGTCGCCGACTGTGTCATATTAGCAAATGCGGGACGCATTCAGAACTGCTCATGACTTACCCTTGGAGGAAAGATTGCCCAAGGCCGCAGCGCTATTCCCTTGCACTTCAATACTTTCGGACTCCGTCAGAGGAATGAGAACGTCAAAAACGCCGAGATTCAAAAGGTGGGGTTTGAGCTCATCACTCAGAGCCAGAACAGCAATGGCGGCAGTCATCTCGGACTGGACGCTGAGGGGAACCTTCAGAACCAGGTCCTTGCATTTCTGAACCGCACCTGCTTGGAGGACAAGCTCCTTGTTACGGTCCGAACTGGCGGCGAGATTTCGAAGCGTGGAAATGGCGTGGCACTGTATCTCTTCATTATCCGTCGAGCCAAGCAAGTCCACCAATGGCTTCAAAAAGCCTGCATCAATAATCGGTGATTCGTTAAGCGGGTGAATAGAGATGTTGCGAATGCATGCGACGGCGGAGAGTATGAGGGGAAGGTAAGAGGACTGCAAGAGGCGCAAAAGCGGGGGGAGACCTTTGGCGCGAACGATTTCGAGTTGGTATTTCTCGTCCGACGCCAAATTGCGAAGAGCCAGCGCGGCCTGGCATTGGACTTTGGGAGTGGAGGAATCCATGAGATGGACCAGTGACTGAACCAACCGGGACTCGGTTTGAGCAAGTCTCTTTCGGTTTGACGCATCGACGGCGATATTGCTGAGAGCAGTTGTGCAATAGTATTGTACATCAACATCGGAGGAAGAAAGCAACTGAACCAAGACGGGAATCGCGCCAGCGTTGACCAGTTGTTGTCGGTTATCATCTATACACCCGTCAGAACAGGATAAGGACCAACCGCGTGTTTCCAGATGGTCTACCCACCAGAATGTGTCATGTTTAGCAAGGCCCCCGTCGCGTTCCGTTGTACACGCATATCCTTGGATTTCGCCAGACGAATCAACGGTCCCAGAGCGCCCGACCGAGCGATCTTGGCCTTGTTGTCCTCATGCGTAGCTAGATTCGTAATGCAGCCAACTGCATTGCATTGGACTTCGACATTGGGCGACATCATCTGCCGTATTAGAGGGGCCAGCCCTCCAAGGGCGACAATCAGTACCTTATTATCCGCTATGTGGTGTCAGTGATAAGTCGTTGCCATCACCGAAAATGAGACCAACCATTGACAGCGAGGTTTCCCAGCGCAGCGCTGGCCGCGCGTTGTACTTCAATATCAGAGCTTTGTAACAAGAAAAGGATGGGTTCGAGGGTATCCCGATCGACTTCGCGCACATCTGCGAGGAAGAAAGGTGGGGGTTAGCCGCGCGAAGATCATCGAAGCTTGAGGTTCACCCACCTCTCTCCGTGATTTCAGCAAAGGTCAAGCTGGCGCTTCGTTGAAGGTCGACATTATCGGAGTATACCAGTGTACTTAAAGCGCTAAGCGGTTCGCCTCTGAAGAAGTCGGTCTCGGCTCTCTACCCGGTCGGTTGAGTTAGGATCAAAATCACGCCAAGAAATCCACACAGGGATGAGGGTGAGCGAACATACATTTTCAAGGTAGCCTAACAAGTCGGAAACCGCTTCCCGCTCATTATCTGCTAAGGTTGTCTCGTAAATTCCATCCCTCGAGCGACCGCCGATCGGCCCGAGACAGGCGGTGATATGACACCAGCGGTCAACTGTCGAGAGACAGGATAAACAAGCATTTGCGATCCCACTCATGCCTTAATACCACAGGCCCGCAAGACCAGACACCGGCCCCACAAGCGACAAGTCTAAAAACGAAAGGAAACGAAACCAACGTTGTCAGTCCGACCGGCGAAAGACAACCTTCCCTTCGTCCCAGGGTAGTGTCCTGTTCCCAGGGAGGACCTCGAACGATGGGTTCTCTGTTGGTCTCTGCCGAGAGACAGGGTCAAGGAAATGGAGTATTGTGGATTGCGATGGGAATCGATTGATGACGAGACAAAGAGACGGATGGGAGACTCTGCATATAGCCCGATGAGAGTTGAAGCCCGCGGGAGCACAAAGAATGGCGCGTGAGAGGCAGGACAGTTTTTGTCGATATTATTGTCGGTTCGAATTCGAGATTAGTGTAAAAAGGACCCCAGGGTCTTGCCCAGAAGGAAGGAGATCGAACAGTGAAGGAAGAGGGAGGGGAGGGGGGGGAAGTTGGTGGTGGTGGTTGGGAAGAGGACCAGGAAGAGATGGCAGACGGTGAGGTTGAGTTTAGTTACTATTAGTGGGCCTTAGCTTGGAGCACGGGTGGTGAGTGACCATACGGGTCCCAAGTGAAGGTGTTGGCAAATGATAACGCGGGAAAGGAAGAGAGCTCATTTCCCTTTCTCACTTCCCGTCACCGACCATACACCACAACAACATTTGGATTTTCGGACCGAGAATCAATTCGATTCAAGAATGTCAATAGTGGAAATAATATTATATTGTTTTTTGTTCAATTCCAATTCTCGTTGCTCCTGGATTAGACTTCATTGTTATTAAAGTATATCCAAGAAAGATAAACCACTGTTTTGTGTCCGGTACGGGTCAGGTAGACATACCTTCACCTGTTTCATTTTGTTTGTTATGGTTGATCGTGTTTATCAAGTACAGTATAGTATGTACGGACTTTGTCTGTATGCTACCTTATATCTCCCGCTAGTCTGTCTCCTACTGCAGATTTCAATTTGATCGACCCACCATCTGGAAAACGCCCAAGCTATTTCTACAATATCGATCACTTGCTGGGCGCCATAGCAATCACATCATACAATCCTGGCAACCCTCCCCCACCAACAATGGATGAGCAAAGTATAACCCTCCCTGGTCTAATCATGGGGCTACCCGCTGATCCACCCAGCAAAACTTAAGGGTTCGACATGACACTCACGGTGGTGAGAGAATCATTCTCACGGTCACGGGGGAACTGTCTTCCTCCGTACTCGACAATAGTAATAGAAACCTCGAGACACTCGGTCAGACCTCTTCACTCAACTTCACTCAGTTCCTTGGCCATCACAGGCGAGAATGACTTGCATTTGGAGGCTGATACTGCCTGTTGGTATCAGTAGTTGATATTATATATAAATGCAGGTGAATATCCCGACAAACCGTAAAGCTCACCCCGTTCGCCTATCTTACCAAATATTATCTGTACACCGGAGGCCAACCCCTTGACGAGTGATGCGACATGATCACCGGACAAAGGATGGATGATCAACGGGCTGTTGGCCATAGCGGCCGGGGGTGGTTCCCATTTACCCAAGGCGGGCTTTGCAGTGCCACCAGGCATATTTTATATATATGTCGGTTATCATTCTGCTTTGAACACTGTACTTTGTAGACCGAGATGTATGTACTCCGTAATCTACAAGATAATCTCGGTTCGCCCGAGCTTGCTGAAGCTTGTGGCATTCCATTCTGAAGAAGATGCAGGTCGCTGCCGATCGGCAATGGTTCCTCCGTCCTTGGGTTAGTTTAGCACTTTTGGCTCCCATAAACACTAATCAAACGTTTTAATACGTCATAATAGCCCACTTTGAAGCCAAGAGGGGAACGGAGAAAGGAAAAAGGAAATAAAAGAAGGCGGTCACCGCGCTCAGGTCAGTCGGCTTCGGGATTCGGAAGTATTGGAGAATCGGGAGGGCTAATTGGTAAAAGAAGGACCCATCGATCCATCTCAGCTAACCGTTGAACATGCCATAATGAGTTACTTCCACCGAGACCCGTCCAAATTGAGGGATCCACGCAGGTACCTATTCCCTTTCCTTTTCCATTTCACTAACCGACACTGATCTTAGTCCATGATTGTTCACGAGTGAATGTTGCCCGCTTACCACGTGAGGCGATGGCCAAAGAGGGTCACATGAAGCCACCATCAACGCCAGCTGGACTGAGTAAGTAAGAAATAAGGCTGTACCTCTGGACAACGGAGTTGAAGTCAAATGCCTGCGAGCGATGATTGGAATGGTCGCATGTTATCCCTTCCTCGTGTTGCCCCGCAAACTAAGACCCGACACCAACTGCGGAGCAGCCCTAGTCTATAGCACGATGTCTTAAGCGTCTTAGCAACCGCCATAAAAGGATCAATGCGAAAATCGGTGAACTTGCCACCATCTCTTGAAGGGCGACATCCACGTCCACGTCGCGTAGTTTTGCTGATGGGTCCAGTCACTTTCACTTGACCCATGCATACGAGGAGTTCTTCTGGGAAACTGACTAAGACTCTTATCTCAGCACGGTCCAGTAAGGAATTCGCCAAACTCTGTGAGACGGCAAGGACGTACTTCAGATGTACTCCGGGACTGTCAACTGCATGATGATCCACGGCGGAAGAAAGCTTACTGCGGGACCAGAAGAATCTCAAATCTCAAATCTTGATTCCTTAGTCGCTGCGTAGCATACGGACTGTTGTCTTTGCCAACACCGCCTGTATAGATTCTTCTATACCCCTTCCATGCCGCAACGTGAGGTAAAGGGACTGGGGAAAATCGTACCTTTGGCTCACCGACGGGGTCGCGTGTTTGTTTTTGTGATGGGGTTGGTCCAAATGTTCAGATAGCTACAACTTCACGCATACCTACCAAGCCATACCATCCCATTCAGATGCCCCACTGGCAGATCTTACCATCTGACTCGCATACTTAAGCTACTTTGCCCTCTTTGCCAACAGCCATCGTGCCCTTTCTCCTCCCCCTTTTTTTCTATTCTGGCCTTCTTCGCCTCTCCCCTCTTCTGGTCTAGTGTCCGTTTCTCAAATCACTAGAGAATCGCTTTGATCCCTTTAAAGCTCTTGCAACCTGCCTCTGTACCCCGTGCTTTGTTATTTTTTGTTTATGATTTTATCTTACTCCGTATTTACTCCCTACGATTTCGCCCTTGGATCCCTGTAGTTCGCCACGGTTTCTCACTAGAACATCCACTTTTGCGACCCGATCGGATATTTCCTCTAGGGGGATTGATTCTAATATAGGGCGGTTGCGCAGATCACAGGAAGCTCCCTGTATTATTCTTCTTCTGATCGATTGATTCTTTCTTTTCAGATTTTTAAAAATATTTTAATTATCTGTTATTACTATTATTTTTATTATTTTTCATATCATTGCATATTATTTTTCTTGTTAACCCTTTCGCCGGGGTGAATAATTG